TCTTTCTTAAATAGTAAAATGAAGTAAAATTTCTGTTTAATTATTTTTATTTCCACTTGCGCATCTTAATTTGCTACGAATAAGAATAAGTTAGTAAGTCACGATTTCAACTCTAAGCCCCTGGGGTTGGGTCGTGACAAAGGTGGTATCAGAGTAACGGTTTTAAAAAAAAATATATATAAATAAATAAATATATAAATAAATCCTAAAAATAATAATAATAATAATCATATAGCTAAGAAAATATATACATATATATATATAATAAATAAAATAAAATAAAATAGTAATAATAAATATTTACCTGTGACGATAGTTTTCCTGTGTAAAATCTCACGTTTATTATGGTGTTGTAGGGATGTCAGAGATTTACCTTGATGATGCTTTTTGGAATGACCTCCAGGCCATCAATTTAGATGAATTCTTAGCTAAACACCCTGCCCCCGCCCCCGCCTCACCTGAGGGTTGGGGAGATTCTGAGGAAATAGTCAGGGAATTGCACCCAGGCCTTGGCCGATTGATGGGTCGGCCCATTTATATCCAGGTTGACCCTACCGACGTCCCACACTTATTATGAAGGCACAGCCTTGTCCATACATGCAGACGTTTTCTCGGACCATCTCGCGTCCTTAGCATCGCCCCGGGTCACGACCGCCCGCATTATATTATAGGCCCTCTAACCCCTAGAGTTTGCAACCAGGAGAGGGAACGTGTACCCCGAGGATAGTATTGTCACCACAGTTCCTAACCCACTGGAGATCATTAATATTCCAAATGTTGACTTCGAAAATGATCTGTCATATGTTGAGACACCTGTTTGGATTGTCGACCGAGTATTTGTAGGTCATATACGGTCTATCCCCATTTTCACGGTCCAGGTAGCATGGATGTGTTTTGGTGTAGTCCAGTTGGGGTGGGAGTTTGAGCTTTTTATGCAGCACTATTTCCCCTGGTTTTTCGGCCCATCTGACCCACCACTCTAGATCTGGCTAGTAGAAAATCTTTTGTATGCTAATCCTGATATGTTCTAATCCCTTTTTGTTGACTTTTGTTTTTGTTTATCACAGAGGTGGGACACTAACATATTCTGACTAATGTAATGCGAATTGAAAAAATATATATAAATAAATGAAAATGTGTAATGTTGGCAGTTTATATAAATATAAAGTGTGCTACATATGTATTGTGCTACATATATACATATATATATATATATATTGCGTTGAGAATATAATGCCTCATTTATTACTTGTAGAATGGCTAATGGTAATGGAAGTGAGTCATCAGTTAGTGGCACTGAATCGATGGAAAGGGTAATGGAAAAAGCGGTTACTAGCTTTTTGCAAGCTTTACAAACTAACATCAACAATGCGACGCCGGAACGGCGAGAAGGGCCGGTTACCATAAAACAGTTCCAGGACCTGAAACCCACCACATTTACCGGCAACCCAGACCCAATGATAGCAGACGCTTGGGTTAAAGACATGGAAAAGATTTTTCGCGCCCTACCCTGCACCGAGAGACAAAAGGTAACTTTCGCCACTTTCACTTTCAAAGACAATGCACAGGAATAGTGGCTTCTCACTCTGGAAAAAAGGAATTACGACTTGGGTAAGATTCTTAGAAGTATTCTACAAAAAATATTTTCCGGATTCATTGCGGGAACAGAAGGCATCCGAATTCATACATCTTAAGCAAGGAACCATGACGGTGGCCGAATATAAGAGCAAGTTCACACAACTCGCTCGGTTTGCAACATACGTCATCCCCACTGAAACTCGAAAAGCAAGAAAATTTGAAGCAGGATTGGATGCTGGGATTAAAGACAGACTTGAGGTCTTGAAATTGCCAACCTATACAGAAGTGGTGGACCGGGCGTACATAGCAGAAAAGGGAATTAAAGCCTCGCGTTCCGGAGAATCAAGCTACAAGAAGCAGTTCTGGGAAAGAGATAACAGAAGACTCGATGTTGTACCTCATAAAAAGGTGAAAATGGGAGCAACCAACTCAGGCCATCAAGGCCCTACCAACCCCCGAAGTGGCGCTATTCTAACTTGCCCCCCTTGTGGGAGGGCTCATTGGGGACAATGCCATAGGGACACGGGAGCATGTTTTAGATGTGGACAGTTTGGCCACTTACTAAAGGATTGTCCAAAGATGGTTAATCCTACAACCAACCCCTCTGGCCCAGTCAGGAGAACCGCGGGACCGGGAGGAGAAAGGAAGGATCAAAACCGCCAAGGTCGGGCTTTCGCCTTGGTACCTGGAAACCGAAAATGTTGTGTTAGGTACACTTTCTATCTGTGGTCTTTTAGCTCATGTCCTTATTGACTTTGGGTCAACTCATTTTTTTGTTGCACCACACTTTGTTGCCAAGTTGACATCAACACCCGAACCATTAGGATATACATTGTCTGTGTCTTTTCCTTCTGGTAAGCCTGCCTGTGGTACTGATGTGTACAAATCCTGTGCTATATTCCTAAAAGGCAAAACCTTATATGTAGACTTGATTCCCCTCCGCATTGGAAACTTTGATGTAATCTTAGGTATGGATTGGCTGGCTGCCAACCACGCCTCTATCGATTGTAAAGCAAAAAAGGTCTCCCTCAAGTTACCAAACCAACCCGAAATTGTCTTTGATGGGGCTGAAGTTTCTAACCCTTCCTGTATCATATCCTCCATGGCGGCCCAACGACTTCTAAGAAAGGGTTATGGTAGTTATATTTGTTATGTGATTGATACACAAAAAGAGGCCCCTACCGTTGATGCAATTCCTGTAGTTCGAGAATTCCCAGATGTCTTTCTTGAAGATCTACCCGGTATTCCAGTTGATCGAGAAATCGAATTCACCGTTGAAACCTAACCCGGCAAACAGCCTATATCAAAAACTCCTTATCGCATGTCGATGACAGAGTTGAAAGAGCTGAAGACTCAACTCCAAGAACTCCTGGACAAAGGTTTTATCCGACCTAGTACCTCACCTTGGGGAGCTCCAGTATTATTCGTGAAGAAAAAGGATGGCACGATGAGATTATGCATCGATTACTGGGAGCTGAACAAGGTCACCATCAAGAATTGATATCCTCTGCCGCAAATTAATGACTTGTTCGATCAACTTCAAGGCGCACA